AAAAAAAACTTAATTTAATTAATTATTTTCAAAGTTTGATGTTTTTATTTCTTAAACTCATGCCATATATAGCTTTAAAATTTAAAAGTAAATATTGAAGCTTATGACCAACTTGATTGGGGCTTAATTAAATTGGACTAAAACAAATTTAGGCCCATAAGCCCAACTAAGTCTTTTAAAACTAACATTAAGCCCATGAAATATGAAGTGGGAATCCTACAGGGCTCGGTTGTTAAGCACCGAGAGTTATCTTCACTCGCGATTGCTGCAATTAGATTAATTTGTGCTTAGTGTGCTTGAGGAGAAAATAATTAAAAATATTTACCAAGCATCTGATAAATATCAGCAACAGTGAACTTGAAGATCCTGAGGGAGCTTCGGACAAGCTAAACATCTGCCAGATTATAGCAATTTGGAAGTGTTTAAGTGTGTTGTATATACATATTAAACAAGATAAGTTACAAATAAGTGCTTTAAAGTGCGTTCTTGGATTATCCGGATGGTATTAGTTCTATGTAAAATTTGATTGTATCGAACAATTAGGTTGTACTGTTGACTCATGCATCAATTTCGTCGGTCAAGTTGGTGGGGGTTGCTGGCGAGTCTCCTCCAGCTTGGGGTTCAAGGGCCCTGTTGTCGGAAATTTTTTTCCTTGCACAAACATTGTGGCATTGTACATTAGAGCGTTGTAGTATTTGTATACTTGTGCATTGCAACATCATAGGTTCTAACATGACAGCTCTGCAGTCTAAATGTGGAGATAGAAAGTGAAGCACAACGACTCTTAAGAACCAGAGCTGCGGTGCTACGAATCGAGTTGGATAGTTTTCTTTCTCGTTTTTCATGTTTAAATTGAAGGGTTGTATCCATTCATGTTGTAAAACTGTATCTCTTTATTAGTTCTGAGAATAATGAAGTGAAGAAGTGAAGTGAGATAATGATAGAGTGAGAGAGAAAAGATTTGTATAATTTCTCCTAATTTTTATAATAAATTTTGTTGTAGAGTAACTCCATAGTTTTTAATTTGACTTCAATTTTTTCCACGTTAAATATTGGTGTTCATTTTAGTTGTTTTCCTTTCTTGTTTGTTTTGTTGTGTGGGTTGCTTCTCAATAGAGGATGTCAGGGTTTCTGATTATGATGTATAAAATAGGATAAAAAAAAATGTGTCATAAGTAGATATGCAACATTCAAGGAGAATGAATTTTCATTGCAATTAAGTAAAAAGACTTGCATATCAAATAGTAATTAAGCAGAGGCCAACATTGGATGGGATCAAATGAATGGAATTCAGTATAAACAAAAAATAGTCTTGCAATAGATAGGATAAAATGACAAATTTAGCCACCACAAAGTTTAGTTGCAAAGAGTTTTAGTAATGATATAAAAAATGAATAAGATATCAATCAAATATTTCCACATATTGTCAAACAGATCTCATTAAGAGTGACACTATTCATTGTTGCCAAGTTTGATCTTGAACTTGACCAAATAGATGTAAAAAATGCCTTATCATATGGTGGTTTGGAGGAAATTATTTACATGAAGCAACCTCAACGATATTGAAAGTGAGCAAAAGTTGTCTTTTGAAAAGACACATTTATGATTTGAAGTAATCTAATCGACATATTTGATTTGATGAGTTTATAAAGAAAACTGGATATGGAAGATGCAAGTTTGATATTTGTGTGTAACAGTCACCTAATCATCCAGTCATAGTATTTTTTGCGAAAAATTTTGGGCGAGCCGTTGTCACGACCCGACCCGACCCGGGATGAATCCCGCTCGCACCGGGCCGCGACCAAACCTTTTATCCAGGATCTAGCTTTGGAATTTGCTTACTGAACTGAATCTTCCAAATATTTCAACTCAAAAGTAAACACACAGACAGACACAGAGCTACTATGAATCGTCAATTGCAGCTGAACAAAACATCTATATTTTTCTTTCTTTTCCTCAAAACAATCATCTACAAATACAGTACATGGCTAACAGAAGAAATACAAAAGAAAAGCCATGACCGTACAAAAAAATCAAAAGTACAAAAGTACCTATCACAGATCGGACTCTGAACTCTAGTCCTGGACGTCCTTCCCTTTCCCAGAACCTGAAAACCACCAAAAAACGAGAGTGAGCTCAACAGCTCAGCAAAACAACAAACCTCCAATCAAAATTCTCAGAATCTCAAAACCAAACACATCAGACAAATCCGTACAGAAATCAGAACAGAATCAGACAGATCTCAAATCGGACAGATCAGAACGAAACAGATCAAATCAGACAGAACTGAACGGAACAGATATCAAAGCAAACAGAACTGTACGGAAACATGAGTCATATCAAATCAGAAACAGAACAGATCAAACATATCAAATCAGAAACAGAATCGTACAGAAATCAGAGATTCAGGTCATATCGGAGCAGAACAGAATCGTATCAGAATCATATTAGAATCATAAATAAAACAGAAATCATTATATCACAACATAGCTGATAGCACTTACAGAAATTAGAAAATCAGATCAATCACATCAAGAGTACAGAAATCAGATAATAATTAGTTCAAAACAGATCTTCCTTCCAGATATCAGAACTTCCCCTTATATCTCCCTTGTGCATATAGCACCCCTCTTCCCCTTATAGCTCCCTTTTTGTGCATACAGCACCAGAACTTCCGCTTATGCCTCCCATTTGTGCTCACGGCACCAGAACAGATGTGCTTATCGCACCAGAATACATATATAGTGCTTATAGCACCTAAACAGATATACAGAATTTCAGAACTTCACAGAACTTCCCCTTATAGCTCCTTTAACTTCCCCTTATAGCTCCCTAAATAGCATATACAGAATCAAATCATTGCAGAGCAAATCCGGACAAATCAGAAATCAGACAAAAATCGGGCAGCACAACGGCAGTATATGAAATTTACACAATTTTTCCTGAAAATCACAA